GCTTGATATCCAACCATCTTCTCCCACTCACCTAGGCAAAGTTTCAGAAAACGTCTCAGAAACCCCCATCCATCCTCTTTACCTCACTCCGGCAAGACTTACTGCAGCAGAGCCACCATCTCCGCTGCTGCTGTACCCTATTTCCATCCTACCAGCTAACCCCCTTACAGCTAGGACGCCCACCATCTATTTCCAACTCAGAACTACGTCTGATAATAGATAAGCTGACTCACTGGAGCTGGACATTGACATAGTCACATAGTGTATTCTTTTTTTTTTTTTTTTTTAAACCGGCCCAGGTTGCTAGTGGACATGATATGAGTTGCGGCCGATGCATTATCCCCTAGTCCCAACTGATTCTGTTCCTTGATTGACTGCTTCAGTTTTCATTTTTTCCTTTCTCCGATCTATCGCTAATGAGTTGCGGCCGACAGCCAAAGAGAAGGTGTTCAACCCTATACTGAATGCTTTGCAGGTGGACAATGGCAACCAACCAGATTTCTCCGTGAATGACAAACTTTGTCTCCAGCAAGCGACAAACGTGATTGCTTGTGTGTGCCTGATTGCGAACCCAGCTGATCAGGTCGTCCTACTATGTCTTATCTAGAATGCATGTGCCCATTCGATTTCCGACATTCTCTGTCACTCTGACTTCCACAAGCACCTGCGTAAATATTTTATAATGAATTTAATCGAACATTACGATCTTACCTTAGGGGCCATAAACTCCTCTCTCAAGGCCAATTCCAAGGCTACTGCTCCTTTCAGTTCCCAGTCCCATAGATGTAGCATGCACCTCCCATTGATGTCCCATTTTAGCAGCTTCCAAAACCAATCCCCCTGATCATGTGGGGTCAAAGTACCAGGCACCTGCTACTACATTGCAGCACGACTTTCCAAGACTCAAGAATAACCATAAAGATAGCTTCCAGCCTCTTTTTTCCACTACCTGTAACCTCTCCAACTTTCTTATCAGCTTCTACCTTTGCAACCAATCCTGATTGTCCTCCCTTCTCTTACGTCATGAAGTCTCAGCATCATCCTCCCCTTCAAGCCAAACTTAGGGTTACTTGGCCAAAAATTGCCTGCCACTTCTGCGGCTGAGACAGGTGGACCAGACCTCTTGTCTTGGATCCCAGGTGTGGGTTTGGCTTTTGTCGATTCAGATCATGGAAGATACGCTTAAAAAATTCTGACTTTTCAGTAGGTTCTTGATGACTCTGGCAATAAACAGGGACCAGACATCAGAAGGTCAAACAAGAGAACATGCTCCTCCTTATTCTTCTCCTCCTCTCCTCCTTGTCCTTGTCTCCTTGTTGCCGTTGTTCTTGGCATTGATAAATATTGCAAGAGGTATCTTTTCGTCTTCAAGAGAAGAGGCGTAACATTCTTTTCAACTGATTTCATGGTTGCTTGACGCTTGTTTTCTGATGCATGTCGTTTTGTTGATGGAGGGGTGGCACAGCTACACACCTCCATCACCGGGAGCTCGTGGAGATTCCATCGTAGATGAAAACGCAGCTGCAGGATATGATTTGCGAGATATGGAGAGACTCGGTGGCCAAGTCCTGGAGGAGGGGGAGGTGCAAATCAGGTTTGTAGTTTATCATTTTACAAATTTGCATGCATTAAATTTCCTTTTAAATCTATGCGAGGAGAGAGTGGGGTCAGGAGAGAGAGGGAGAGAATCAAAGTGGCAAGGGGAGAGAGGGCTGTCCTTGATAGAGGGAGGGAGAAGGGGGAGAGAGGGGCAGGAACGAAAAGACTGGGGAAATGATAGGGAGAGGGAAAGACAGAGGGAGGGAGAGAGAGGGAGGGCGAAAGAGAGGCAGTGAGAGGGAGAGAGGAGGAGAGGGAGGGAGGGAGAGGGAGAGAGAGACAGCGGTGATATGTGTGTGTGTGTGGGTGTTGGCAACTCGCGCTCAACTACATCGACATGGCGAGTCTTGTATCTGAGAGGCACAGTACAGGGGAGCTAAAAGAAGAAACAAGAGAGAGAACGCAAAAAAAGCCAAAAGAAAGGGAAGAAAAACTGCACAAGAAAAGACAAAACAACGGTTTTAGTGTGCTTCGTGTTGTCTGCTATTTTTTTTGTTTGCTTCACAAAGTGCATTCTTTTAGTTGATAAGCATGTGACAATATAACATGATGGACGTGACAATATATAACTTGATAGAAGATTGTAAAGTAAAGCTGTTTCAATTTAGACCTACTCCTCTGGGAGGAAAAGGTGTTGTGGTGGTGACAGTCTAAAACACACACGCACAGATGAACAGCAGTGCCTATACAACTGCAGTCGCTGTGCTTTCAGTGTTCCTAGAATGCAGGTGTCAGATAGAAACCACATTGCCTGCGACATCTGTATGTATCACACCAATTCGACACAGTGACTGGAACTGGGAGAATTGGATGCGGTGCTTCCACGGGCCACACCCGACCCAGTCGTGTCTGGTCTGCAGCGGCAGCCACGTACCATAGGCAATGCCTGCTTCTCAGCTCTTTTTTTTTGCAACCCGACCCTTGACTGCCTCCTGTGCCAGTCTTAAGCAGTCTGCTCTGCCGGTTGGGCTTGAGGATTCAATGGGATTCCACTCCCCCTTGCTCTTCTCCTCCCTCCACTCTCCTCCTCTTTCTCGTCCCTCCCTCTCCTTTCCCTTTTTCCTCCTTCCAACCCCTGTGTAGAACTCGTAAATGTATATGAATGAGCATCTATGAGAACAGGTATGCCGAACGGCAAACGGGTGTGTATGCATCCCATTGTGAAGTACACAATCGATGTGGGCCTTGCACCGTGTAGAATATGACGATAAAATGGCAGTTTCATCAAAACATTTACATTGCAATCATTTAAATTTTTTTTTTTTTTTTTTTTTTTTAAACAAAACAGGTCCTTATGGTCCTGGCTCCTTTCCATTCTGGGGAGCGTCATTCCGGTTCCTATTCCGCCGGCAAGTCAAAGGAATTACATATAATACACACTCACGCTTCCTTCCGTCTGGCCGAAGGATCCCTGACCAGCATTGATTACTCCCTTGTAGGAGGATTGACTGTCAGCTTGCCCTCTCAACTCGTTCCTCTCAGGCTGCTGTATAGGCCTGCCAGATATTCCTCTACCTAACTAGAGAAGTGAGAGGTTTTGCTGACGTTCATACACGTTTGGCTTTCTCACGCCCTGTTTATCGCCCTGCTTGTTCCTGTGCTTGCCGTACTAATCTTTGGTCTTGGGCTCCCAAGTTTGGTTGTCGCCTTTCCGTTAACCTTGATACCACTTCTTCCATATCAGTCTGTTGTCCGTTATGGTGGCCACCTTGCCTTTTATTAGTCAGTCCTTTAGGAATGCTCGTGTTACATGCTGAAAGCCTACACACGGGCCCCTCACGGGACCCGAGGTTGGAATAGGGCCCCCAGGTCGCGTCACCGCAACCTGAAGGCCCTATGGCATTCTTACGTGGGCCTGCATCAAAAAAACGCCAGCTTTAGATTATTTTTATATTCTTTTATTTATTTATTTGCTGCTGTTTTTCTAACGGTTGTACTGTTGTCCGTTTTGTGGCCAGGTACACGTTTTAGGACCAGGGCCAGATTCAGGCCCAGAGGCTGAGCTCCTAAAAACGTTTGGACCTTTTCTTTTGTTTTCGAACAGATTGCTACCTGTTCGGACCCAGGCCGACGTTGAGGCCGGATACGTCCGCACAGGACCGGTTYGAAGCCAGGTACCAGGAAACTGAATCCTGGACAGGGCCTGGAYGTCCGGTAGGGACCCAGGCAGGCCGTTTTAGGCAAAGGGCTGAATCAGTTTCAAAGCCTGCGATCTGCACCGTGGATYGGATTTYGATCTGCACGGCCCATAACGCAGGCCATGGGTTTTCAGTCCTGGCCCAGCGCTACATAAGCTGGGCCGTTGCCCAGTTCGTGGACAGAAGGTACCAGGAGAAATCCAGCGTTATGCTGGTTCAGGAACTTGGCTGCTGCGCTATTTTGGAGACTCCCTGCTGCGCTACTTCGAGACTGCAGCTGCGCTGCTCATCGGCAATGAGGCACAGCGCTGGAGGAGTCCAGCGCCGAGGAGAGTAGTGGAGTTAGTGTGAGAGAGAGAGAGAGAGAGAGAGAGAGAGAGAGAGAGAGAGAGAGA